GTCATTATTGAATGGTCCCCGAGTCAAGCAGTTCCCAGTGGTGGGAGGGGGAGGACTTTGCTTGTCCACACAACTGTTTCTCCCTGTTGTCACAGAGCACAGGGTCGTGCTGAAGAATGGCACGCCACATCTCGACAAACTGAGAACCAAAGTAGGCCGCGCGCAATAATGTGACCATATTGAGAAACAGAAACACTTTGTAGAGAACCAAAGTAGGCCACAATAATGTGACCATATTGAGAGACAGAAACAACCCTTACACTCTGACACTTTTCCAAGAGCCTCAGTTCCTCCCGTGTCATTTCATCCTCATCACCGCTCGGGTCAGAGTTCAGCTGCACTCCTTCAATGCTGATGTTTAATGCTGGGCAGATTTTCTCAAGGCGCACATTCTTGCCATAATGGATGGGGACAGACTTCATGGCATATTTGCCCTGGTCCACTTTGTGGGTCACCTGGAAAATAACCAGGTTACAGAAACACATGGGTCACATTTGTACATCCTGTGACAACGCGACAACATGGGTCACATTTGTACATCACGACAACATGGGTCACATTTGTACATCACGACAACATGGGTCACATTTGTACATCCTGTAACAACATGACAACATGGGTCACATTTGTACATCACGACAACATGGGTCACATTTGTACATCACTACAACATGGGTCACATTTGTACATCCTGTAACAACACGACAACATGGGTCACATTTGTACATCCTGTAACAACATGGGTCACATTTGTACATCCTGTAACAACATGGGTCACATTTGTACATCCTGTGACAACATGGGTCACATTTGTACATCCTGTGACAGCATGACAACATGGGTCACATTTGTACATCCTGTAACAACACGACAACTTGGGTCACATTTGTACATCCTGTAACAACACGACAACATGGGTCACATTTGTACATCACGACAACATGGGTCACATTTGTACATCCTGTAACAACATGACAACATGGGTCACATTTGTACATCACGACAACATGGGTCACATTTGTACATCACTACAACATGGGTCACATTTGTACATCCTGTAACAACATAGGTCACATTTGTACATCCTGTAACATCACGACAACATGGGTCACATTTGTACATCCTGTAACAACATGCATCACATTTGTACATCCTGTGACATCACAACAACATGGGTCACATCTGTACATCCTGTAACAACACGACAACATGGGTCACATTTGTACATCCTGTAACAACATGGGTCACATTTGTACATCCTGTAACAACATGGGTCACATTTATACATCCTGTAACAACATGGGTCACATTTGTACATCCTGTGACAACATGGGTCACATTTGTACATCCTGTGACAACACGACAACATGGGTCACATTTGTACATCCTGTGACAACATGGGTCACATTTGTACATCCTGTGACAGCATGACAACATGGGTCACATTTGTACATCCTGTGACAGCATGACAACATGGGTCACATTTGTACATCCTGTGACAACACGACAACATGGGTCACATTTGTACATCCTGTGACAACATGGGTCACATTTGTACATCCTGTGACAACATGGGTCACATTTGTACATCCTGTGACAACATGAGGGGAACACTAGGACCAGTGGATTCAAGGAGAGATCTTTGCAAACCCTACAGGAGGGGGAGGGGGGAGGCAGAATCAGTGGATCTGCTAGCTACTGGACACTGACCACTAGACTAGAACACTATCTACTGACTAGCTACTGGACACTGACCACTAGACTAGAACACTATCTACTGACTAGCTACTGGACACTGACCACTAGACTAGACTACTATCTACTGACTAGCTACTGGACACTGACCACTAGACTAGACTAGACCACTATCTACTGACTAGCTACTGGACACTGACCACTAGACTAGACTACTAGCTACTGGACACTGACCACTAGACTAGACTACCAGCTACTGGACACTGACCACTAGACTAAACTACTAGCTACTGGACACTGACCACTAGACTAGAACACTATCTACTGACTAGCTACTGGACACTGACCACTAGACTAAACTACTAGCTACTGGACACTGACCACTAGACTAGACTAGAACACTATCTACTGACTAGCTACTGGACACTGACCACTAGACTAGACTAGACCACTATCTACTGACTAGCTACTGGACACTGACCACTAGACTAGACCACTATCTACTGACTAGCTACTGGACACTGACCACTAGACTAGACTACTAGCTACTGGACACTGACCACTAGACTAGACTACTATCTACTGGACACTGACCACTAGACTAGACTACTAGCTACTGGACACTGACCCCTAGACTAGACTACTAGCTACTGGACACTGACCACTAGACTAGAACATTATCTACTGACTAGCTACTGGACACTGACCACTAGACTAAACTACTAGCTACTGGACACTGACCACTAGACTAGACTAGAACACTATCTACTGACTAGCTACTGGACACTGACCACTAGACTAAACTACTAGCTACTGGACACTGACCACTAGACTCGAACACTATCTACTACATGAACAGTTCACCTTTTTGACCTGTCCATAGGCACCTTCCCCACAGCTCCCCTCTTCCTCATAATGACGATCAAAGAATCCGGTCGAGTTCCCAGTTGCAGCAGTTTGGTTGCTGTCACTGCTGGTAGTGAACCCCGAGGCCATCTGGCAGATAGACACAAGGTCTACACTCAGAGTTTGTGACAACACAAGGTCTACACTCAGAGTTTGACAACACAAGGTCTACACTCAGAGTTTGACAACACAAGGTCTACACTCAGAGTTTGACAACACAAGGTCTACACTCAAAGTTTGACAACACAAGGTCTACACTCAGATTTTGACAACACAAGGTCTACACTCAGAGTTTGACAAGACAAGGTCTACACTCAGAGTTTGACAACACAAGGTCTACACTCAGAGTTTGACAACACAAGGTCTACACTCAGAGTTTGACAACACAAGGTCTACACTCAGAGTTTGACAACACAAGGTCTACACTCAAAGTTTGACAACACAAGGTCTACACTCAGATTTTGACAACACAAGGTCTACACTCAGAGTTTGACAACACAAGGTCTACACTCAGAGTTTGACAACACAAGGTCTACACTCAGAGTTTGACAACACAAGGTCTACACTCAGAGTTTGACAACACAAGGTCTACACTCAGAGTTTGACAACACAAGGTCTACACTCAGAGTTTGACAACACAAGGTCTACACTCAGAGTTTGACAACACAAGTAGAAACCATAAGAACATTTGTAATAATTGTGGAGGGGTTCCATTTTCAGAAATCCTTAAAAACCACATGAAACAGAAACTGTTTGCTGGAGTTTGTGTGAAGGAAGAGAAACACTGACACAATAACAATCATTTACTGGTGGGACAGACAGACAGACAGACAGACAGACAGACAGACAGACAGACAGACAGTACTACTTAGTCCAGAAGTAGGAGCAACCAGTGGCGCCCTCCAACAACAAACATCAGAAGCTGACCCCCACGCCTCTCGATGCCCAATTTTTACAAATAACTTTTGTTTCTCCAAACAAGCAATTCAAGCATTTTTGGTGAATTTATCAATTTATCGAAATGATGAACATATCACCTACTTTTAGTTTTTGTAAAAGTTTTACGGCAATTGCAACACAATAAGGTCACATAAGTGCCAAAGAATAGATAACTTACAAGAGAGTAACATACACAACGGACGAGAGATGAGGACGATAGATGTTTGATAGGAAAGAAGGAGCAAACCACAGCAGAGCACGTGCCAACCCCCCACAATCACCTGCTTAACCACTCAACATCTTCGCCCCAGACACCGGGACATGATACTGCTGGTAGATATATCTAGCAATTGCGTGGGAAAACTTGCCCTAAAAGTTGCCATTAATTTTCCAGCTTTCAACTCTCTGTGACGACGTATCTATAGCAATACGTTGATAGAGGCAACTTCACCAGAATTTCTTGTGCTCCGTTTTAAGCATCCAGAATATCATTTGTAGCCACACAGAGTGTAAAAGCGTGAACAATAAAGGTTTCACAACAGAAGTAAATCAAAATTAGAACAGTACATAAACAAACACAAAAATTAACAAGTATAAGGGCGAGCGTCCATCAATCCGGAGATAGGCCGTTTTAACCCCAAAAGCGCGTAATTCAAGAAAAAGTACAGGATATTACATGTAAACTATTGAATGACACACAAGGGGCCTGTGTGAGCACATGTGTTCGGCTTTGTTGGAGAAACGCTCTACATCACACATGTATACATCACAAAGGTAGGCACAGCATCAAATTAAATGACATTTACCCTTTTTAGTATGGGGTTTTACGGCGCTCGCAAAAGCATAAGGTCATATGAGCGCACAAAACACAAGTTAGTTTTTTATTCACAGTTCACTGCATGGCTGGGTACGGGTCATTTGATCATAAAACATTAAAATATTTAAAATTTGGTGTAAATATATATTTTTTCAATCTAAAATTACCTTCGTAAAAATGTTGAATAATTTAATTTTGTTCTACAACTTCCCATAAAGGCCAATGGCCTTCATAAAATCCAAAATTCTGTTGGGACCAACGACGGAAAAAATGTCTCGCAATTTTTTGCATTTAAAGAATTTCCTTCGGATCTCTCCAAAGTCTAGACATTTTTCTCATCTCCCTGAAGGAGGTATTTGTGTGTTAGGGCCGGGTGTCCGATGCGTAATCGAGTAAAAATGACTTCGTCTCTTTCGGAGAGGTCCGAGGGATTTCGCGGTCCCAGTTTGGGTTTTATATTACAGAGTTTGTTACTCGTCTGTTTTTTCCCACTGGCTCTCCCACTGACTGGAGCTGTACTTTTTGACTTTATTTCTAAAGTCAGTCTGTGGGAGAGTGTTCGTCGTTGATCCCAACAGAAGGGATAAGGATTTCTTCACCAGGTCATCTG